CAAGGCTTGGACTCGTTGATCCAATATCGTGCTTGTAATATAGGCTTCCATAATGCGAGAAAGAGATATTTAACCACATTTCTTGATAAGTCGCAATGCTCTGGACAATCCTGAACTTTGCACCAACTTCAAGTTGATCCCATAACTTACTTAATGGAACACCGGGTACATTTTCCATCAAGATGTATTCGGCCCCGACGTCATTTTTGGACGTGGAACTCCAAGCCAGAACATGTGGGATAGGTATTTTAAGAACGTTTCACAGCTGCAGGGTATCAGCATGTAAAATCCAGGATGATTATAGGTATAAATACGACATACAAAATCCATAGTGGCAACTTCTGAAGCTGTTGTGAAGTGTGCTTTCCCTGCGTTTGGATTCGGGATCTTGCCCACGACTTGGACTCCGTTGTTCATTGTAAAGCGAATCGCTTTGTTGTGCATTCCATCCGGTAATTTCTCAGTTTTCACGCATTCTAGAGGGGCCTTGCTAAGTGTTGCGGCGGAGTCAACGGCCAGTCGTTCAAGCTCGTCAAGTTTAAATTTCACAGTAGTCTGCGAGATGTGATGGGGCTCATCTGAAAGGAATCGCCCACGGGTAAAGCGGAAGAAGTCGGCGAGAGAGATTTGACCGCTGATCATGGTTGGATCAACCCTTTTTCTCGTGTGTAGACGTCGAACAAAGGTTTTGGAGGGGTTGAGAAATGGTAAAGCCCGTGGAAATGAACTAAGGCATAGAAGTCAGCAAGGAGCCTTTCACCATGGCTTTAAGAATTTTGCATACTGAAGCATGTGGAAGATCGCGACTTCACTTGAGCTTTGAACGTACTCGGGATGATAAAGAGAAACCTATGTGCTGCGATTGAAGCATTTATTGTGTTGATTAGTCAGTCGCCAAAAAGACTATGCTTCGCGTGAGATAACTGCGGCGACTTGACAGAATAAACCTCGAGATTTGGTTACGCCAAAAATCACGTTCTAGTATTTACTGGGTATAAACAAGGCACCCTTGATAAATCGAGTCGGCCCCTACACGGGCTTTGAGATAGCGTTGATTCGGGTAATATGCCAGATCAAGACTAATAGTAAGATAAGAGTAAGTAGTAAAAGCTTTTATAGCCTAGTCACGAGTGAACGCCTAATCTGAAGTCATCAAGTGAAACTAGCAAGTCCTATGAAAACACAGAAATGGTAGGGTTGGCAGCGAGATCAGTAAAGAGCAGAAACTTTCTTTACGGATTGATAATGTTGTAGGAGAAAGTGAAGAAGAATCAGCTAGTGAGAAGGGGAGAAGGGAAGGGGAGAAGAGAAAAAGGAAAGACCGGGCTTGGCAAATTTGATAGTCTAACCACGCGACCTTGTAGTCCGGATTAATGTATGTTCCTTTCATTCTCGACCGCTGCAATGACAAAAGTGTAAAGTTTGATTCACGTTTCCGCCTTTTAAAAAAAGCCGTTCTGCCACGGTGCGCACAGACTTCCGCACCTCAACAAAAGCACTTCAGATTGTGTCGTGTCAGGCCTCTAGAGCCTTCCGAGGTTAGCTGTGGTTTTAAACCACGTGATGTTATGCTGGTTTCCGGAGACGCGCGCGCCTTTAAGCACGGCACTTTACATAAATCCTGATACCCCCCACCCTCTTCCCCACTCGTTTATGACGCATAGACCATTCTTTTCGTAAACTAACTTTCAAACAATGACTACTCAGTCTAGATATCCCACCCGAAAGGCGGGTAGGGCGAGTCAAAAGGAAGGACAAGCTGGCTCCGCAAGATTTTCTCAGCGAGCCAAGACATCACAAAATCGGAAAACCGGTCAAGCGAAAGACTCATGTACATCAACAATTTCAGAAAGTAGGGAGCATGAGCCTGGTGACAAAACGGCAATCTATGTGACAGTGCGCTGTCGAAGTCGCAATGAGCGGGAAACAACCGGTGATCATTCTGTTATACTACGAACAGATGGCATCAAGGGGAAGACTATAGAGGTGTCTATGGATTCTCCCTCTAACAAGATCTACAACTTTGACCAGGTATTCTCATCAGCCGCTGACCAGCGCATGGTTTATGAAGATACTGTTTTGCCAATGGTTGATGAAGTGAGATTCGATGCTGCCCTGCCTCTAATAATATGTGCTGATAAGCAATACAGCTTCTGTTAGGCTACAACTGCACAATCTTCGCATATGGACAAACCGGAACAGGTAAAACATACACGATGTTTGGAGACATGACAGAAGAATTTGGGCTTTTATCTGACAATGCGGGGATTATTCCACGCACCCTCTACACACTGTTTGACAGGCTTAAGGGAACAGATACCACCATCAAGTGTTCTTTTATCGAGTTATATAATGAGGTCATACATGATCTTCTCTCAGGTGAAGAGGATACAAAACTCCACCTATTCGAAAACGAAAGGAATACCGCCAACAGGAGTTTATTGGTGAAAGGAATGCAAGAATCGTATATCGACTCTCCATCAGCCGGTATTCAATTACTCCGAATGGCTGGCCGGAAACGACAAGTGGCAGCAACCAAATGCAATGATCTGAGTTCCCGAAGTCATACCATTTTCACAATCAACATTCTTACAAGGTCTAGTGACGAGTCCATTACATGTGGGAAGCTGAACCTGGTAGACCTAGCTGGTAGTGAGAACATTCAACGCAGTGGCGCCGAAAACAAGCGAGCTGTTGAAGCCGGTCAAATCAACAAAAGCTTGCTAACACTTGGACGAGTCATCAATGCTTTGGTTGATAGATCTTCACATGTTCCGTACAGGTAATGTCTAAATCCGATTTTCAGAAGAGAAAATACTGATATTGGACAGAGAATCAAAATTGACAAGATTACTACAAGATTCCTTGGGTGGCAACACCAGGACTTGCATAATCGCTACTGTTTCTCCTTGTCGATCAAGTCAGGAAGAGACTGCCTCTACATTAGATTACGCATTTCGGGCCAAAAACATTCACAACAGACCGCAGATAAACACTCCCGTGCCGAAAGATACGCTGCTCTCAGAGCTGTCTTCTGAGATCGAGACTCTTAAACGCAATTTAAGAGCGACAAGGCACCGTAATGGCATCTATATGACTCCTGAGACATATGAAGACATGATCAAAGAAATTGAGTCCAGGCGGATCGTCAACGAGGAGCAAAAACAGCGAGTTCAAGCCTTGGAGTCTGGATTTCAGCACAAGGCAGAAGAACTACTTGCACTAAGACGTCAGCTACTAAGTTCACAATCTGACAAGAAGGAGGCGCATTTAAAACTCTCTCAGATGAATGACACCATAAACAAGGCTCAGACTAAATGGGAGGGATCTATTGCGGAGGTGTCAGACATTAGTGAGAAAGTGGGAGCTCGAATCAAGAACTTCCAAGCTCACCAGACAATGCTTTTAAACGATTTTTCAACCAAAATCAGTCAATTCTTTGGAAATGAGACAATGGCAGCGCAGAGAAACCAGACCCTTCTTTATGATGCTCTCGATACTGTCGAAAACGCTGGAATGGACTCCCAGACACAATTAATGAGAAGCGAGACAGAAGAAGCTTTCCAAGAGCTCAAGAGAATCAGTAAACAGGTCAGAGTGATGATCTCTAAGGCAATGATTGAACTTCCTCAAGCAATTAGCCGAATGTCTGAAGGTCTTCAGGGTGAATTGTCGAGATGCAAGAATCAGGTATAACGTTTGTATGCTTTGCCAAGGCTTTGGCTGACCAGGTTTTCAGTTCGATATGGCCTACAGCACACTCGATACTGATGTCCAGTCGATATCTCAGATGATAGTGAAACACATCGAGGAGCAAAACACCGAAATCAGCGAGCTACAGCTTCAGCTTCAAAATGCCAATTCTCGAATGGTAGAGATGAGTCACAAGACCTCTCTTGACATGGTTCAATTTCTGGAAGAGGAGCGTACGAACGCTGAAGCAGAGCGCCATAACCTTCTGACCCAAATCGGTGCAATCTATGACCTTAGCTTCCAGCAACGCTGGGACCGACTTCAAGGAAATTACAGTAATGTCTATAATGACATTTCAAGCTCTGGTGAGCTTATTGAGGGTTTTACGACACACAGTCGGATCGAGAAATGTATCACAAGGCAAAAGCAACTTGCTGAAGAACTCATTAAATTGAGGAACAATCTCGTCGTGCGTATGGGGCAAGATAAGGAGGTACAGTTCCCAATGCATTTTCTTTCTGACTCGTTGGTAACCGCAAGCAGACCATCGAGAAACAACATCTCTCTGTCCAACAAACAGCAGCATCGGCGCAGAGGGACCTACGGCACAATTTCGATAATCACAAAGAGGGTCTTGATGGGCAACTAGAACTATGGGCCCAAAAATTGGAAAAGACACAATCACAAAACAAACAGTTCAGTGACGCCTGGCTTGGCCATTTGAAGACTTTAGGGACCACTATGAAAGAATCATACTCAACGCTGAAGGGCCGATTTGGTAAATTGCTTGATAGCTCCAGCGAATTTCAGAGCGAGTTGGCACTGCACTCGAACACAATAGAGCAACCAATTGCCACCTTGGAGAAGGAGGTTTACGAGCCCCTCTCACACCTGCGGACGAGCATAAGGAATTGCTTGTTACCAAGTGGCTCCTTAAGACAAGCATCAGACTACACTACTCCGTCGTGCCACCCAGATACCAGGGCATCATCCGCCTCTTTGGCACATAAAGGATCTAACGAACAGCACGTTCGCGATAAGTCAGAGGCAACTCAGAGTAACCAGGAGAGCATTCCTCGCTCGACAACTGACAGTTTCGCTGAGCAGCCATATTTGGCACTTACATCGGATGACAGCGATCAACCCCGACCTAAACGGCGCCGCCTGTGAGAACACTAGATATTCGACAGCTTTTATATTTCCTTTTAATGTTATCCCTGTCTAAAAAGTTTATGTACAAGTCAAGTATTCAAATTCTTGGCTTCTAGTCATGTGGTTAAACTACTTATGTAACTTGATACTGGTTGAATCGCGGAAAAAGTTGGAATTCCTCTCTGAAATCCTAAATCCGAATCTCAGCTCAGCTCAATATTCATATTTAATACTGCTTATACTTATGAACTTAGCTGTAAATTCAAGATACCAACTATATTAGAGAAGCCGGCTTGGTCAGATGAGCTTTTCTCGGAATGAAATGTCGAGACTTTTGGGTTAGCTTCTGTAATTTCGGTCAGTGATATAACAGGAATAAGTTAGTAGTGCCTAGAATAAACGACCTGATACTTATTTCTAAGTCTCTCAATTGTATCATTGACTGGATTCTTTTAGAAGTAATTGTTGAGGTAAAGTCTAGTATGGAACGGAACATCTAGAACAGAAGGCTTAGACCAGACAAGATTTAAATCAGCTTGGTGGCCCTTTTCTATAAGATATTGCATGTTCTATAAGTTTCTTGGCAAAGTCCAAAGTTCTGTTTGAATGTCAATCACTGACTCCACCTCATCAATGCCCCGGAGTCAGTAGACTGTTTGAGATGGTAGATAGTATATACACAATCACACCGGTATACACAATCACACCATTATCGAAAGTAAAGCAAGCATACAGCGCGCAGATGAAAGAGTGTACACGCCTGATAATTCCCGTCCCTTGCTCGATCTCATCCAGCCTCCTCCCTCAAACCCTTCCCGTGCCCTTGCAATGCTCACAAGGATACTGCACAACGCCGTCTCCCATACAGTGGCCACACTTGTTTGTACCAAGTTTCCCAGCGCTAATCTTGCCTTCGCCGTTGCATCGATTACAGGTTTCCCATGTTCCTTTGGTGCCGCAGCACTTGAGACATTCCCCTTTCTCAGGCATTGTCGTCAGAATTTCGATCTTGATGGGGATCTAGGCACCGTCAGTATAGTGTTTTGGCCGCTCTTTCTTAAATAGGTGGCAAACTAACTCGAGTTTGTTCTTCAATATACTAAGATCTTCTCTCGAATGATGGAGAATGAGGAATTGCTTTAGATAAGCAGTGAAGGACTTCGTAGCTTAGGGCTAAGATGAAAAGGAACGATTATCAAAGGACACATTCAAGTCTTTTATATACTTTTTTCGGTTACTACGACAAGTATGGACTAAGGAACGCAATGTTAGTATGAAATATACCTGCTTGATAATCACCTTGGCATCTTCCCTTCAATTGTCATTTCCTAAATGCATACAAGCATTCTCTGGATGACAGAGCCACAGCTGTGACTAGGTCACACTTTCGAGGCTGCAATGCAGCAGCAAGTTTTCACTGAACAAAGGCGATGGCTGTCAGGATCGAGAACATCATATCTAGAGTAGTATGAAAAGGCAATAAAGGGCCGTCTCGCAAGAGGAGGATCATCTGACTTGATGATTGGGTCACTTCAACACTTGCTGTTTACAGTGGCGAATGAGTTGCGCAGCCATGGCAATGATTATTCCGAAGTATCTGAAAGGCCTATCCAAGAATATGCTTAATTAGATAATTTATTATCAGTCTAACCCCTTCTCATGAGTTCAACGATAGAACCAGCCCCAGCATTTCCATAGAATTGCTCTTAGAGTATAGCACACTTAACTAGAATTTTGACTCGATACTCCTAAGTAAAACTAGCGAGTAGTATCCTTTGCTAGCGTACCACTATTCATTCCTGAGGGTTGAGAAGGGTCGCATTTACGAATCCTACGAGGGGGCAACAAAGCGCAGAGGACTTGTTGTCACTCCAGCAAACTAGCAGCCAATTGTGCATGTCAGGAGCTGTTTTCTTGCCTCATCTGAACTCTTCTAAATTTATGGCTTCGGATGATTGAAAGTTGATGTGAATGCGCTGCAAATTATCGGTAGGCCGCATCATACAGATGAAAAGGATGCAGATAGATGCATAAAGCGGCCTTCTACATAATAATTGCCTTCGAGGTCACCCGGGCTTTTGAGTGTCGGGTCAATGTCTACCCGGGTAGACATTGACCCGACACTCGAAAGCTATCCCTATATGTTAATACCCGCATCAGGTGACCGCGCAGGGAACCTCTCAGTGGTGCCTTAGGCTTAAAAGTGCGCTAGTGGATTGCTACGAACCACGTATCTCTGTTGGGCATCATGGAAAACCCCTCCACCCCACCAACAATGCCTTGCCTCGTTGCAAGCCGCGCAAAGCAAAGACACTGCATCCTGCTATATCTAAGGAGTTAGCTTGAAAATTATCCCCTGGCTTGGATAGATGTCAAAGTAAGCCACAAGATAACTACTGAGACTTTGAAAGTGAATGTAGGCGACAAGCACCCCATGCAATCTACGTTGCTAAAATCCTTCCTACACAGACAAAGCCATCACCTTACGTCGTTATCCGGGCTCTGATATCGTTTTCCATCGCTTAAAGCAACAGAAAATCCACTATGGACGAACTCGTGGAATTTCTTCCGAGAGCACAGTGGCGGGGAAGAGGCCAACACACTTCTATTTGCGACGATGATAGAAACCTCGAGCCTATATTAGTCAAATGCGTGTCGGAAATCCCTCTTTCATTAGAAGGCTTCGGTCTGCAGGTTTGGAAAACAACAGGAATTACGAGAATACTGGAAAAAGCGGCCTATATAATCCCGGTGTCTATAATTGAAGGCACACCCCAGATTCTCGACGGACCGCCACTTGTTCCAGGAACAGCTCCCTTCTACTTTGAAGACCAGGCTATTATCTCTGGCTCTCTTTACTACATACTCGCAAAGCCCCCCAGTACTAAAGTACTAAACAATCCGAAAAGTAACACGGAGGCTTGACGAGAAATGGCAGAGTCAGTCATGGAAGGATTTACAAGGGGTGAATTAAGTCAATGTAACTAACGCCTACCTACTACACAATAGCATATCAAAGATTGTCTTATGCTTCTGATGTCGCTTCGATAGACAGACCAAGTGTCGCATTTGTGGGATTGGTCGACGTACCCAATTCAGATACAGCCGATGGGTATCCAATATGACCATTCGTGTACGTTGATCCAATATTCTGGGTCTCCGCTGAAGTTAGTAGAGGACCATTTGTACTCCCTCCAGCACCATGAAGTGAAAACCAAGGGTCACACGAAGCAATTATATCGTCAATCGACATAGTGGGTCTGAAACAATCACCAGTGACGTCAACTCTATCTCCTTCGCCTGGACGTTTGGGGAGGTATAAGTAGGGTTCATCTGAAGCAAACACATCTTCCATAAAAGCGAGATCGAAGCCAAGGGAGGGACTATTGCGATAGTCAGGTGATTGTGCTGAATCAATGTTGACCTGAGGTTCCTCAGTTTCCCGAGGACTGGGCCTCGCTGCCTGATGTAACGCGGTGTCGCCTTCATAATAGTTCAGAATCGCAACCCAAGCCTTCTGTAGAGTTTCTCGAATGGCAAACTGTGGTAATGTTTTCGTGTATGCATTCAAAGCTTCGGTTTTAATATAAGTCCATTTGTGAAACTCGAATCTATGGCTAGTCAGTCTATGAAGATGGAAAAGATGGGGTTAAAGGACCTTTTTGCTGCCACATGAGTCAACGAAAGTATTAGTTCACTGTGAGTCAACCTATCCCACTTCCATCCAAACAATGAGTAGCGTGAAAGCCTTTTTCTCCTTCTGTCTTGATCCTTCTTTGGGTCGTCCCACAGCTGTGAACATATGTCGACTAATGCAGATTTTAGAAGAGTAGAGTGTCGACTATCATGGTCACTCTGTGTTTTCCTGCAACGTTTTCGCGCTTTTGGACTAGAAATAAGCTGGTTCTGTCTCTTGTAAACTTGTCGAGATAAAGTTACAAGCAATACCTTGCGTCTTGTTGCATCAAGATCTTCCATGCGTTCTAGATCGTGGTAGCACCGTCGAATAATATCTTTATCCGGCGCTACTCCGTCGCAAAATAACTGAGGGCATGTAGTCCAAATCTCAGCACAAGCCTTAAGACATTCGATGTCTACAAGAGCCCAGTTCTTCGTGAGGGACGCGAGGGCTTCTGCTTCGTCAACAGAGAGCCTCTCTCCTTTTCGCGAAACGAAGTTCGAAAACCAGGTTTGACGCTCGGAAATCGAGGTATACGGTTTGGACCGTCTTCTAAGTCTTTTGACGAGAGCCCGATGAAGAGATAACAGCTGATTGTCCGATTCCGAAATTTGCTTTAAATAGTCACTGACCGCCTAAGTCGGGCAGGTTAGCCATGAAAATAGTTATGAGGTAAGGATAACTCACATCATCTCCCGCAGCGCGAGTAAGAGCCACAAGCTCCGATATGTTACAGGAAATAGCCTGCTTTACTTTATTCGAAGACTCTTCATTGCCGGCCATGATCAGAAATAGGGATGACAAAGGTTGAACAAGAAGACTGTAGTTGCACTTGTAGTCTCTGGACGGTCTTTTTAATCAGTCGCATACGAAAGCGGGGTAAGGCTGCCTGGGTGGTCAATATCTTCCCGGGTAGACATTGACCACCCGAGCGCCTGCGCACGAAAGCGGGGTAAGGCTGCCTGGGTGGTCAATATCTTCCCGGGTAGACATTGACCACCCGAGCGCCTGCGCCTGTGCGCTGGAGCAGTCTAGAAATCTGACACAAACCAATCCGGATCTCCGATGTGGTAAAAATAAATGACCCGCCAAGTCCTCTTGGACTCTTTAGACATCCTAGGGGCTGCCCACTTTTTGAAGAACCTCTATGTCGCTAGACTCCTCATGCTACTAGAAACATGTTTGGCGCTAGGAATATACTTGCCTGGACACTACATATCGGGATGTGTTCGAGGAAAATTGATCGTACAAGTCACAAGCACTGAAAGTGGGCATCGACTACGGTACGGGTGAAGAGGTTTGAGTCTAAATGTTATGTGGGCATGGCATTTTCCTAGAGACGGTGGTGGCTGTAGTAGGTTTTCAACACTGTTACTAACGCTAAATAACCTCCCAAACCTAACAGCGGTTTCGATACCAATTAATCTGGCAAACCTAACTCTCTACTGCGAATCTCAAAACCGAGCCTCCCCTACCTGCTAGGAATTTGAAAAGCCAGTCTTCTCAGCCTGTTGCCCAAGGACTACTTCTACGGTTTCACGATAATGTAGTACGTCACTGGAGTAAGTCAAGTGGCCTGATAATCAAGTCTCTTGACACATGAAATGGCAGAACGCAAAGTCATTTTAGAATATATCTGCAAGACCCTTCGGCTGGCTGACTGTTATATACTTTGACATATCAAATAGAATTGTTCAATGTTCCTCTTTCTTAGATACGGACAATCAATTTTTGTGAAATATAATGCTGAAGCATCACAATTAACAATTTGCTTTCTACTTATAACTTACTATCGAATAATGTCTTCAGTCAAATCGCCCACAGTGAGCAATCTTTTTACTTTTGCTGTTGACAGGTACGATGTTAATTTGAGTATAGCAAGCTCTCCAAGAAAAACAACGCCTATTTCAAAGCTCATTCACAGCAAATGATTGCATTATTTACCGAGGAATATTGCATTCTCCTGTATCGAAAGAAGCACATGTACTACTTCTATATCCTGATGGTCTAAGAAAAGTAATGGTGTCGGACTTCCTGAAGGACAGGGTCGCGAAGGCAGCGGTAACAGACCAAGGACCAGAGGATGAAATTGAACGAATCGAACATATGAGAGAACTATTCCCGAAAGGACCGACAATGTGGTGGAAAAAATAAAGAAGTCAGCTTCTGGTTAGCTTCTTCTGTCTCTGCTATGTATGTTTCTGCTTGTTGTTCTATTTCTGTGTGGCAGAAATTTGATCTTGAGTCTTTCACAATGGAAGGAATATATCCCAATGCATAGTCGCAGCGAGTATTCACCTCTATTTACTCAATTTGCTTTAGCGAGATTTTAAGACTTGATTATACTTCATTCTTGGGCAAAGGGACCCTGGAAAACTTTCAATAGGGTAAACAGAGCAGCCTAAACTCAACATGACCATTTGCATGAGGCTTTTGGTGACTGAGAATCTTTTGAAAGCTGCGGTCTTTGGTATAGCTAGCATCCTCTCATTTTCG